GAAGAAATTTTGAAGCAAATCTAACTGATTCGCTTGCTACTGTTATACTGACTGATGAAACACACAGGATCCTGAAAATATTAATCTACTACAATCTGCTATCAGTAGACACAAATTGTTAAGAAATAGATTCCAAAAAGCTTCTCTAATATTCCTTTCCACATTTGGATATGTAGTGGCTCTGAGCAGAAGCTAATTAATTATCAGTATTAATGGTAATCTCACGAACATTATAGAATGCCAATTAATTTGATAGAAATGTATAAAAACTGCTATCTTCCTCTTAATTCTTAGCTTTTTTCCATCTTTTAACTCATCAATAATATCTTCTACATGCATAGTTATGGATGATTCTAGAAATTGAAATTTTTTTCGTTGAAATATTTATTATTTATTTGAATCAATTCAATTTTCACAATGTACATATATTTCACTTGCCATATCAATAATGATTTAAACATTGTTGTATGATAATGTTTGCTAGACAATATGATGCAAACAATCGTGTAGTAGCAATTCGACTACAACAACAAGTAAATAAAAGAACGGCAGTTACGTATAACGATGCTACCAACGACGTTAGCAAGAACCAAAGCTGTGTTGCTGCAAATAAATAATGGAATGCTTCTAGCAATATAGGGTTATGAACATAAAAGGCACTTGCAGCTTGGCCATTTTTGAAGTAGAAAAGATTAATGAATTATAGGAAAAAAAAAAGCATTGGAGTAGATTATTTGAAATGAGATTTTACTCAAGCAAGATAACAACACTAATAACTAAATTGAAACAGGTTTGATGTAACTGATTTGCATCACTGATTAGAAGTAATTACGTTATTTTGGCTTGAAAAAAATCCAACGAAGATCATTTGATAAAACAATGCTAAAGTTGATTCATCTCAATAAATTTCCTTCATTTACAGTCTTCTTCAGGGACAAGAAAAATAAAAAAAAGCAATCTTTATGTGGACAATTAATGTCGCATTATCAACTGTTACTGTCTTTAATAAACTTTAAAACCTAAGTTGGGATTATTGTTTGATATCGATGTTGTAAACGATCGAAACAACATAAAAACAATTGGATATAAAAATCTAATTACGTGTAAAAAAAAACGAAAGAAAGAACTGGTCTTGAGGATTTTATGTTACTCTCTTTTAATAAGGGTAAAAATTGGTGTTGATGTGCTGCTGCTCATTGTTTAAACTCAATCTAGGATATTATGTATGTGTTTTTATTTTATTATGTTTATTATAATTATAAAAAGCATTGAAATTTTTGATAAATTTTGAGAAAGAGGATGTGCATAAAGATATGATAGTGGGATATGGAATGCTCAAAAGATGATGCACAGCGGATATACATACCTAAATACGATTTAGTTCACGGAAACAGAGAGAACCTGTTTGGATGGTTTAGAAGGAATGTTGAAAGTGGATGTGCCTCTTCTTCCTACTTCCTGAATCCATTATCAATTGCTTTGCAACTTCCAAAATGATAACTTTTTTTGTAATTATTAGAAAAGTTTAAAAATTATTGTAAAATTTTTAATAATTTTTCTATTTACATTAATTATATCATTAAGTTAGCAACCAGAACGAAGTATCACTTCTTCAACTCAAATATAAAATAACAAGAATTGAATTTATCATTAAATTGCACCTCTGTTTCGGTTCGTATTTTGAGTTTCATCCTCAGATGATGATATACGCATTGATTTTGTTGTCGCAGATATTATCTTTGTGGTTGAACCAGAATGTAACACTGAAGCTATCAAATAAGTTTAAGCGGCCTGTCATGTAATTTAATTAAATATAAGCTGAATGAAAGGTAGAAAACACTATCGAAATGACTCCTAAAATTGAAGTGAAGTAATCTTTGCGTTTCTGATTAATCCAATTTGATTGTTGCAACTATTTAACTTTTCTTCAAAATACTTGTGTTAGAGTCATTCTTCCAGTCAGTTTCCCAAAACAATCCATCGTTTCTTATGCAACTCTTTCAATGAGTATTATTGAGTGAAAAGAAACGAAATTCATATGTATTTCTAAATGAATTTATCAAACTCAGATGATGATTATCTCTTCTCGAGAAGCGCTTTTAAAATATAAATTCAATCAGCGTCACCTTTTACAATATTGGGCAATAACAGGAGCGCTACAAACAACCGCTCAAATCTATTCATTGCAGTTACGATTTCTCCTATTGTCATTTTAATATTTAATATGTAGAAGCAATGATAAATTACTAGAATATTTGATTGAAAATTGTTGATTACAATTTTGAAGAAGCTGAAACGGAGAAACAAGAATAGAATATAAAAATAGCAGAAAAGTAGCACAGATAAGACCAAAGCCAAAATAAATTAAAAATAGCTCTTTGGAAGAAATTGAATTGTGTGTGTGATAAGTAAAATTGAGAAGAGAAATTTGAAGAAAATTGAAAATCCGATATCTGCAGTATTAGTTTGTATTAAGAAGCATTATGCTCCATATTGCTCTCATTATTCTACTCTACTCTCTAACTTAGTCTTCCTATTTTATTTCTCAAAACCTGCGAAAATGCTATCAATTTCTCAAGTTAGCATATAAGACTTTTTTTTTTCTCTCATATTTGTTTTTTGTTAATTTATGAAACTATGCATTCGGCACATTAAAAATTAACGATTAATTATTTCAAAATATGGCAAGTCCGTAACTAAAAATTTTCCTCTCAGCATTTAATAAGCACTATGGTTTGCTTTGTAGACTAGATGATTGCAAGTGTTATAGTTTCAACATTCTTAGTCCTCTTCGACACATCCTACCACTCTATGTGGATCCCTTATAAGTAATGACAAAGATCTAGAAGCCTTTTAGATATGTTTGCATCGTTGAGACAAACTTTTGGTAATGTGTCAGTGTAATTGACATTCCATTGGCTACAACATGGTTGATTGATTAGCATAAATTAGGAGGGATAAAGCTGAAGAGATGAAATCAGGCAAACCACAGTGATGATATTTGTAAAATGAATTCTTTGTTCGTCGATAATACAATAAGTTAGTTGTCTGTGTGAATAATCAATAAGTAAGTAAGTTTGCAGGGACAGATGGAAGTGAAAAAGAAATCCGTTACAACAACATTACTGCTACAGGAATTGCCAAATTTACATGATGATGATGATGATGATGATGATGATGACAGTAGCGAAAAAAGCGATCAATGGGAAATTGATCATTTAGATGGCATCAATAAGGTTTGTAAGGATTCTCTTGATAAGCAAAGGTTTATTTACATGGATTTATTTGTTTGATTTGTTTGTTTCATCAGATTACCATCCCTTTTGTGTACATCGAAACGAAATGATTTCTTATCTGTGGACAGAAGCAAAGTGATTCTGAATTTGTTGTCAAGAAACACATGAAATTCCCCAAACCTATCCCCGAAGATCTATTTCATTGCATTTTTCTCAAACAATGTATCAGTTTGTTAGCCGTCTTCTTTCGTTTTTCTTCTTCTTCTTCTGATTCTGATTTTCTAATTGACGAAGTTTTTGTTGGTAAAACATTCCATTAATAGATTTGACATATGAAAAAGAGTTGGAACCCTTCCGGCATTATTGAGTATTTTTAATTGATTATAGCATAGTTCATATTTGTTTGTTTCATCTGGCCTGTTTTAATTCACCTTTCCGGATAGATTTCTATGAAAGCGAAAAGAGTTTTTAAAATAAATGTGTTTTCGAATATTACCGGAAATTTTTGTTCATCTCGGTAATTTCATTTGCAATACGGTTTTCCTCAAGTGATGGCTGATGTTTGTATAAACTTATTCATTATTCATTGCTATTTTCGTAAAGCTCAAGTGAAAGCTTTCCAGCTGGACTATTATTAATAGATATATCCTCCTTTTTCTTCTCTTCATTGCCTATTAATTTAACTTTAGTTTTTTCATCTTATAATATTCCTGCACTTCAACTTTCTTCTAATTTATTTTTCCTTTATTTTTCCAAAAATACCTTTTGACAAATGAGATTATTAGATATCTGTGTCTGATAAATCAGCTAAAAGATTTCATTAAAAGTCTTATCTTCCATAAACTTCCATGATCGTAAATTGTATAGCATTGGTCATACTGTCGTCACCCTCAATGTTAAAACTTAACCTTCTTGTGAACTATTCAAGACGTTTTGTGCGATTATTTTCATAAATTACTTCATCCTGATCAATAATAGGGACGAATTAAAATTGTGGAGAATGTAATGCGAGGAGGCGCACTTGTTAATCATTGATGAGATAGATAGATTCATAGCACTGCTGAAAAAGCCGCCCTGGCCCTGTGATTGAAAAGGGAGTAGTAGTATTCGGTTGGTGACTTCGGGAATGCATGCGAGATAGGCCTCAATCAATGGTTTCACTGTTCCTTTCACATCTTGTTATGTACTACCATTTCTAGTAAATAGATCATCCCTTGATGCTCCACAACATACACTCACTCTCTTCCTTTTTTACTCTCCTAACAACGATTCTTATTCTTCTTCTCTTTACTTGCACTATGCTGAGATAATTATCAAAATTTGCCACTTGATACTTCTCAAAACTTCAAACACCATCACATTATATTATGGCAGCAGCATTGTGTCATATTAGGATATTTCCTAAGGCTTTTATTAGTCTGTTTTGCTCTTCCAAATGTAAAATGATTGATATTTTATAATAAAATGCTTGCAGTCATAGATGAAAATAAATATTGAAGAGAAATATTTTCAAAATTGAACCAATGGAGCAGTCTAGAAAGAAAATCGAATCTTGTCTTCTTTACTGGTATTCACTACTGATATCGCATTCTTTTCCCACACAGAAAAAGTTTTATCTGTAGATTGTTTTCATATTTTTATCTCTAATTACAAGCGGTCTTTGAAAAGTAATTTTTTTTTTTTTGCATAAATTAATTAACCTATGCTCGCTAGGAATACTTGCGATGCAATATTTTGCTACTTTTGGATCTTAGATGTGTGAAAATGCAATCAAATGTGGTTGTAAAAGAGTCTACCAAATGGTTCATCGTCTGGAGTACAGATACTGGCAAGAAATACTCCAGAGTAAACCTTCTATTAAGCTTAGTAACATCAAAAACATGTGTCACTATGAATAACAAGCTATGTTGGACACTTTATCAGTTCATTCTTATTTCCGAACTTTGCGAAATATTCAAAAAGCTAATATCACTGTAAGAGATTGGATTAAATTCAAATTCAGATGGCTGGTTGGAAAAAATATGCGCGAATAATTTTGCCTCACATCGGTCTCATTATTTTGTCATTGTTGTATGCCATTGGTGGTGCACTTGCATTCTATCATTTGGAACGACCTAATGAAATTGCTGTGAGACATGAAAGCTTGAAAGATATTTCTGCTCAAAGAAAATTGATGCTTGACGAATTATGGATTATGCTGAATGATGAATCAATCTCAGATGGTATATGCAGTATTTATAATCAATTAGTCTGTCATTTAAATCTGAAATATAGGAATGCAAGAAATTTGGATTCATGGAAATGATAAGGCCAACTAAAGTACTTGAGTAAAGTTAACATCTCTCACTCGTATCCATTGGTCAATTAATTGTATTTAATATTAACTTGGTATTATTCAATAATTATACAATATATGAGTGTTATTTATTTTCCAACTGTATTATAACTGACTAATTCTTTACAGAGGAAATTGAGCGTATAGCTATCCATCACGTGGACAATGTGACACGAGTTTTGTTTGAAGCTTTTGACACACATTACATCACTGCCTCGCATCTACGAAGTAGCACTGCGACAACTTTAACTGATGATTTTGTGGAAGAAGAGGAATATAACTGGACCTTCACAACAGCTCTCTTCTTCACAGCTACTCTTTTGACAACAATTGGTAAGATTTCATAGATATTGGTTTTTTAAACTTGAATTAATTAATTTAGCTAAGCTCATTAAATGTCGCATTTACTTCAGGATACGGCAATTTGGTACCGGTAACATTCCAAGGACGGATGTTTTGCATTGTTTATGCTCTATTCGGTGTACCGCTTATACTCATCACTGTTGCTGATATTGGCAAATTCCTCAGTGAAAATATTATATGGCTGTATGCAAAGTATGTACGCACGCTGAAATGACCTAAAGGGCGGGGTAGATCTCTTCAATTCCAAAGGAGTGGACAGTGACTTGTAGAGAGGTAAATCCCGAAGATGGCTCCCTCCTTTATATCCCAATAAATAGTGTAGGTATGAATATATGCAGATATGCAGAAGCGAAAAAAAGATGCAAAGAGAAGAAAATTGTATGTATCACATCAGTGGTCGGTGAAATAAGTGGTACTGTGAAGGATCAGCTACTACAGGTGGGTTTTACCGTTTAGTAAAAAACATAATTGAATCGGATTTCATTTTGCAACAGTTGTAGTTCGGACTGGAACAATATGTCTCGATACCGATCCTGCTAATTGTTGGAACGCTACTTGGTTACATAACAATTGGTGCTGTCTTGCTTGCTTTGTGGGAACATTGGGATTTCTTTTCTGGTTTCTACTTTTCATTTATTACTATGACTACGGTTAGTTTATTACTTTGATTGCTGAATTGCTACTTAATTTTGTACCTTCCTATATTGCATCAAACCTTTTAATTTTTTTTTTTCAAACGGAAGAATTAAAAGATAAAAACAGTAAGGTGACATGTTTTTGAAATTTTAAGAAATACTTTGATTTCGGAAAATCGGTCATTTCAGCTATGAGAATTCCATTCAATTCTGACATTTCTTAATCATATAAATTCTGCGTCGTTTCTCCTCAACTCCTATTCAGTCATTTGTTTAAGTCTTGTTAAGTCAAATTTGCTTTCAGGTTGGGTTTGGCGATATCGTACCAGTTAAGCAAGAATACTTTTTATTCGATCTTTTCTACATTGTTGTTGGACTAGCCATAACGTTTGTTTGTCTAGTTATTTTCATTTCCATTTCTAACGAATATTTGATAGCTGTTTGATTCAAAATGAACTTCTATAGGACGATGTGCGTTGATCTGGTTGGAATTCAATATATTCGCAAGATTCATTATTTTGGACGAGCCATTAAAGATGCTCGTTATGCTCTAGTGAATGTTGGTGGAAGAATGGTACATGTTCCGGATTTAATGCGATATGCATCTGTTTTACATCAGGTATATATTTCTGAATCGAAGGAAGCATTATTCTCAGTCATTCGTATTAGATAGTCAGGCTTTTGTACAGTGCTAATGCTTCCTGAATCTTGGTGGGCATCACTGTATTTGATGTGATGCGATGACATACTAAATTAGTCAAACACAGCTCTCAAATGAATTGACTTGACCTATCTAATTCTTCTCTTCTCACACTCGACAAAACCTATATTTAATGCAAAGCAGGATATTATTTGAGTGATAGTAATAGTTGCTGTTAAGTTGTTTTATGTCGTATGGACTGATTTTTCTTATTTTCAGAAATATGGTCAGAAAAGACAGGGACACCAGATACGGCTAAAAGGGGCTTATACTCCAGAAGATTTACCTCTCATTCGATACATCGACTATGGTTCATTAGCTAGTGAAGACAGTCGAATGCACTTTTTCACTAACATATTTAATAAACCTAATGAACTTAGTACGGTTTGATAGAGAATAGATAGGCTGCTATCCATCCACATCAAAATTCCAATTTTATCTCTGGAAATATCAGAGAAAAAATTCAAAACTTTGCTAAACTGTAGAGAACGAATGTTACATTTTACTTGTCGAGTTAAAAGAAGAAATATATTCTTATTAGACAATCGTCAGAATGCTAGATGGACATTCGATTGAGTAAGCATGTTTCCTCAAAGATTCAAACACGATAACAAGGCGTTGTTCATCTGTTAAGTCTATCAAGTGTAATCGGTTCTAGCCATGATTTATGGATTTATTTGGCCAAGATAATAGACTAGGTTGGTACAAAGGTAATCACAGTTTTCATTCCACTAAATTTGTTGTTCCATATTGGAATATATTTAATAAATTTGGCTATATCGTTCTAATGCAATTCTTGTTTCATAGTCTTTGCTATGTGATTTGAATTAGGAGAATGATACTATATAAAAGGAAGAGAAGAGTTCAAAATGAACCATAAAGCAGTGGAAGCAAAGTAATTAGTGATATTATCAGCTCATTTGATCTGCCAAACATTGTATAATGTAGTGTTTCATGAAGTGTTTGGAAGAAACACTCAAAAAAAGAGATAAACAAGCAGTGGAACTCCAGGAGTAATTGAGAGTAATTAGCAAAAGTGATTGTTTTGCTAATTGCAGGTGCATCTTAAAAGCTTAACATCAGACATCTCACAATAGTTTGACTTTTAAAGGAAATTAGAAAGATCAAAAGGCTAAAGTCAATATCTGATTATTAAATGGAACTATCCGTTACCGAACATAATAAAGATGGAGTTATGATATAAAGTGCAATGTACTTATGCCGCCATTTATTTTGATTTATGCGATTTATACCGCGAAAGCCATGATGGCTGATTATAGTAGTATTTGAACGCTTTGATGACACTACAACTTTCTGAATTATTGTCAAAAAATTGATGGGATATATGAGAAATAACAATATCCTTAGCCACAGATAGGATCCAGTTTTAACAACTAGCATTATAGAAATCAAACAAATTGGCCTAGACTATCAGTTATATCATGCCAATGAAAAACTACCATTTATTGAATCATCTCGACAAAGTTTTGCTAGAAAAATTTTTTCGCCTTCAGCGGTGACTTTCTAGAGAAAATTATTTTTTTGCTAACAATTTCTTGGTTACTATATTATCAGTTGTTGTTTGATTAATGATATATTTGGACCTGCTTATAATTTAAACTTATAATACTGCAATCATTTGTTATAGGAATTTTAACTTAACAGAAGCAAAGCATTACTATTTTGTCAGGAATATTTATTACTTATGTTTTCTAAGAGAACTTAATAAATATGAATAATAATTTGCAACATTACTTTTTTCGTTCATTTCTCTAAATTGAGTGCTTTTCAAAGTACTCGTTCGGTTCATCTTTTTTTCCTGCATTTCTCCAACAGATTATTTTTTCAATAATTTAATTTGGTGAAATTTACAAATTTAGCATCACGACTATTCCGCTAGTTTATTGGTTCACAATCACAATATTTCAATCTAACTCAATTACACATTCAAACTGTACACATTTCACTGTAAAGCGAAGTTAACTCTTGATATCACGTGAAAGATAATTGCAATTTAATTAACTTCCAGGGAACGAATAAATTTCTTACTTAAAAGATGACTATGGAATGAGATTGAGTCTATTATTTTAAAATCTTCATTCCAATACACAACAAGTCCTTCATCTACTTCGTGAGTTTTTTTATGCAATCGCAAAAACAGAGATGAAGTTAGACGAGCTGATAGATATTACACCATAGTGAAAACAGCCGCTCCATCTGGATTCATCTCACTGTGTACAGCGAAATCAAGCAGCACCACTCGGCAAGACACTCCTGCTTTTTTTTTCTCTTGCACTATTTTCTAACTTCCTAATTATATTTTCTCCCTTATCAGTGAATATCGCACTACTAACAAACTTGACAATACACTGATCATGCAAGTCCCTTGGTCAGTGTCAAATCAAACTTATCTTTTTCAATAGAAGGTAATTGTAACTTCCTAATTTATTGTCCCCTCAAAATCAGAAATCAAGGTAATAAATAATTCTCATTACAGCATTTTTGCACATGTAACACTATGTCTAAAATTTCTACCCAGTTACTTCTTTCTCCTGAATAAAATAACTTTCAGTCGTCAACAGCGGTTGCTAAGCTTATTGCCATTTAAATAATTATCAGGGAACAATTCGACTTGTTTATCGTTTGAACTGCTACGTTTTGCTGAAAATGATGAAAACTGAAAAAATGAAATGCACTTCATACGGAATATCTAAAAAGGAATAAGAAATGATGTATAACAAAGCAAAAGATTCTCTAAGATAGGCTAACTGTAATCTAGGAAATATCATGTTCCAACAGACTTCAAAATATGCTTCCCTATTCAACTATTATATCATGATAGTTGAATGGGAAAGCACACTAATTAAATAAATTGATGGAAAAAAGACCAAATGGAGAATTGTTTTCAGAAGACAGAATTCAAAAGTACTTTGAGGTATGGTACCTCCAACATCAAAGAAAGTCAATGAACCAGGTCTCTTGGTTTTTCCTTCTCAACAATCCCCACTCTACTACATATTTTACTCTGCTGATAGTGACTCCTTATTAGAAGTAAAACTGAAAGTGAAACAGTAAAAGATAGATTTTTTAAATCACGGAAACACTAAGCTTAAAAAAAAAAAACTAATCGTAAGTAATAGAAAAAATTTTTAAAAATGACAGTGTTAAAAATCTTTATCTAACTTAATGTCTCCGCTGCTTAGATTTGCTTTCACACGGACAAAATATTACATTTTTTCAGTCATGACAGAGTAGGTCAACATAAACTTGTTTAAATTCCGTAATATTTCAAGAATTTGTCATTGTACACTTCTCTCGACTACGATGATATTACAGATAAGGAAAAAAAAAAAAGGGAAATAGAGCTCGAAAGAGAAATAACACAACTAAAATTACGAATACGGGAGCGTGATCGAACAATATTTGACCTGGAAGAACAGATCCGAGGCAAAGATGCAATTATCGTTGACAGGTGTCAGCTGATCGAACGTCTTGAGCAGTTCCATTTTGAACGATCCTCACCTGATAAGGTAAGAACTATCTTAAATTCATTTCTAAAGACAAACTGTGATTTCTAAATTAATGAGTAATTCTAACTGCTTCCTCGACACTAATTTATCGATACAAGTGCTTTATTTTATGTCAGAAATTAAATGGCTAAAAATGTATAACATTGATGAATAGTTGTAGGATTCTTTGGAGGAAAAATCAGAAAGTACCGTTAAGTATGTGAATGTGAATGAAAATGATGCTTTGAAAACGGAACAGGAAGCACAGTTACTGGAGGAATTAGAAGAAGAACGAAAATTCAAAGTGAAGCTTATGGAGCAAAATGCACTTTTATTACAGCAATGGGATGAAGCATTAGCGTACGTTGAGCAGGTATATGTCTGAGACAATTACAGTTAATTAGTGGTAGTGCCGAGTATAAAACTATTCTTTCAATCCTTGTATCATCAAATTTGAACTATCAAAAATCTTTTATAACAGTAATCCGTTACTGATCCTTATATACAACTTCCATCAGGTACAAAAGATGCTCCAAGCCGAGCTGAGGCGGACCAGCACACTTATTGACGAAAATGCGACTCTGAGGAAGCGTATCAATGAAACATTAGTTATTTCTAAAAATGGTATACAATTCGTAGCACTCCTACTTGTACTATCCAGTCTTTATCTATATTCATGGAGTTAATCCAGTAACAAAAAAGTTACTCTTAATAGATATTTTTCCACTTTTCTCCGTTAAAAACAGTCGAAAGCGTCAGTGTCCTGGCCTTGTCACACCATTCCACATATTTCGCTGAATGGATTTCACTGTTCATAGCAACTTCTGTCGGGAAGTTTGAGCTATAGCAGACGCTAATACTCTAAGCACTGAAATCAGAAATTACTCTTTTATATAATCTCTATTACTGCATATGTACTCGTTATTCAAATATAATAAAGTCACTTCCTCTACATTCTTGTATATATATATATCCATTGCAAAATTTTGAATAGTTTTGTATTCTTAAGGTGGAAATGTAGCAGCAATTCTACCACTCAGTGAAAACGAACTTAACGATTGAGTAGTGCCATATCCTTTTGACTTTGGTGATAACGTTATCATGAAATGGAACTTGAATAATTATGCTGCTCATGCCTTTGTCAGACATACTGCTCTTCTCTAGTCAATATTCTTCTTCTGTTTACTTTGCACAATTGTGTTTATATTTGCGTCATTCTGCAAACATTCTTCAAAATACTTTCATTCTCTTCTATAAATCCCCTATGTACGTACTGCAAAGGTCCTTCAATTCTTTTTTATAAAAATTAATGAACCATGACCTCATCCACCAATTAAAACTACTATCATTCATATAGCTCTGTCAAGAACAGTGACGATGTCATCTGACAGTCTCAATCTTTGTAACTACTACAATGATGGTTGGAAATTAGCCGTTTCAAGTGAATAGAATATGTGACTGATAAAGCGTTTATAACATACCGCATAAGAATAATCTATATACATCGGTGAGGCCTTTGCGAATCAATGACGAGGGATGCTACAATAGATACTATAGCAGTTTCCCACCTACCTGTAGCTTCAATTTGTATACAACAATCTCAAGAAAAAGAGAGAGAGAAATAATTGAAAGAATTAATTACGCGCCATCAAAAAATCTGCCTAACCAGCACAAGCAGCTAATTATTTCACAGGATATATTTTGTATCTTAAAAGGAATAAAAATACAAACTGGAGAATGCATCAAGTGGAAATTTCTGTGAAATGATTCAGATTACATATAAGAATCACAGAAATAAATAGATATTGATATCTTTTACTGCAATGCGATTAATCATGATGCCGTGCATATGGAAAATTGGGAAAAAGGAGCAAGACGTGA